AAATCTTAGAAGAAAACATAGGCAGTAAAATCTGACATTTCTTATAGCAATATTTTTTTCTGACATATTGCCTCGGGCAGGGGAAACAAAAGAAAAAATAAACAAATGGGACTACATCAACTAAAAAGCTTCTGCACAGCAAAAGAAACCAGCATCAAAATGAAAAGGGAACCTATTGTATGGGAAAACATATTCGCCAATGATACATCTGATAAGGGGTTAATTTCCAAAATTTATAAAGAATTCATACAACTCAACATTGAAAAAACAAGCAGTACAATTTTTTAAAAAAGGACCTGAATAGACACTTCTCCAAAGTGCACATACAGATGGCCAATAAACATATGAAAAGATGCTCAATGTCACTAATCATCAGAGAAATGCAAATTAAAACCACAATGAGATATCACTTTACCTCTGTCAGAATGGCTACCATCAATAAATCAAGAAACAAAAAATATTGGCGTCCTATCCAGTTTGGCTCAATGGATAGAGCGTCGGCCTGCTGAGGGACTGGGTTCAGTTCCAGTCAAGGGCACATGCCTGGGTTGTGGGCTCCATCCCCAGTAGGGGGCGTGCAGGAAGCAGCCGATCAATGATTCTCTCTCATCATTGATGTTTCTGTCTCTTTCCTTCTTCCTTCCTCTCTGAAATCAATAAAAATATGTTTTTAAAAAGTGTTAGCGGAGATGTGGAGAAAAGGGAACCCTAGTGCACTGATGGTGGGAATGCAGACTGGTGCAGCCACTGTGGAAAATAGTATGGAGTTACCTAAAAAAATTACAAATGGAACTGAATTATGACCCAGCGATTCCACTTCTGAGAATTTAACTAAAGAAACCCAAAAACTAATTTGAAAGACTATGTATCCCTATGTTCATTGCAGCATTATTTACCGTAGCCCAGATTGGAAGCAGCCCTAGTGCCCATCAGTAGATGAGTGGATAAAAATGATGTGATACATTTACACAATGGAATACTACTCAGCTGTAAAAAAGAAGGAAATCTTAATCTTTGGGACAGCATGGATGGACCTGGAGAGCATTATGCTAAGTGAAATGAGCCAGTCAGAGAAAGACAAGTAGCATATTATGTCACTCAGATGTGGAATCTAATGACAAAATAAACTAACAAACCAAATAGAAACAAACTCATAGGTAGAGAATTGACTGAAAGCTGTCAGAGTGAAGGGGAGTTATGGGGCTGGATGAAAAAGGTGAAGGGATAAAGCAAAAGAAAAACAACCTCTTAGACACAGACAACAGTACAGTGATTACCAGAGGGAAAAGGAGATGGGGCTAGGCAGAAGAGGGTAAAGGGAGGATAAATGGTGATGGAAGGAGACTTGACTTGGGATGGTGAACAGACAATACAATATACAGATGACATATTATAGAATTGTACATCTGGAACCTATATAATTTTATTAACCAATGTCACCCCAATATTTTCAATAAAAAAGAAATAAAAGAACTGTGACAAGCAAGGAAAAAAAGGATTATTGATAGGTTGAAAAAATAATAAAAGTACATAAACTTATAATTAATTATATTATAAAAAGATAAATACTCAAAATAGGTCTTTAATTATTTTACTATATTTTAATATTATTTATGCTCTAGAGCAGCGGTTCTCAACCTGTGGGTCGCGACCCCTTTGGCGGTCGAACAACCCTTTCACAGGGGTAGCCTAAGACCATCCTGCATATCAGATATTTACATTATGATTCATAACAGTAGCAACATTACAGTTATGAAGTAGCAATGAAAATAATTTTATGGTTGGGTCACAACATGAAGAACTGTATTTAAAGGGCCAGAAGGTTGATAACCACTGCTCTAGAGCTTAAGTCTGTCTCATCTGCATGGTAGAAATGCTATGTAATGGGGTGACTGTACAGTGACATCATGCTGATATGTAACTTGAAATTGGCCATAGTCAGAATATTTACATCACAGAAATTGGCAAACTACAAATCAAGGCTTTTTTCCCCCTAGAGAGTCAATGTTCACAGGTTTACCAGCCCAATACGGTCCACTGGTTGTCAGCATATTTGCGTGGAGATTGCAGTGTTGCTGGCATCGTCTTCCCTAGAGAGAAAGCGGACTGAGTTCCAAGGGCACAGATCAAGTGATTGAAATGGCTCATGGATGCCTAATTATGCATTCGGGCGCTTTTCTCCTTTTCCCTTATCATAGATAATGGGAGAATCTAAAGATCTGCTCCTGTCCAGAAATCTTTTGTTTCTGAAGAGAGTTGAGAGCAAGGTGTACGTAGCAGCCTAAGAGGGAGGTAGTATTGTTCAGGGAAATACTCTGAAAAATAGGGTAAACTTCCAGAATTTTGGAATAAGATCAAGAGCTTGTAAAAGTAAAACAGAAACTAATAAGATAAATACGGTTGACAACCAGTGGTTGATGACAGCTTGTATTGAGCTTTGAATGCAGTAGGCGTTTTGCTAAGTATGTTACACACATTTGATCTCATTTGATTCTTAGAATAAATAACCTTCTGAGGAGGTAGATATCATTATGCTCATTTTACAAAAGGAACCCAAAATTAGAGAGGTTAGGCAACTGGCCAAGATTATCAGCCAGTAAATGTTAAAGCTGGGATAAGAGCCTTGGTTAGTCTGACTGTAGCAACCCAGCCAGCTCTTAAATATGATACTATGCAGTCTGTGCAGTATAGTGGAGATCACACAAGAGCATTTGCCAATCAAATAGAATAATTTGTGACTTGTAGAATATAAGCGCTGATGCAATTAATTATCACATGTTCAAAGTCTTATAGAAATTTGTGTAATATTGAGTTGAATTAGGCAGAATTTAACACTGAATGCTCTGATTTTGAGCAAAATCATCATTCTTTGCCTCATTTTTCTGATCTTTAAAATAATGCCTCTTAACACAGTTGTGATGGATAAAGTATACAATAAAGTCTGTTGCATAAGGTCTGTCATATCTAAGGATACAACAGCATAACTAACAGGTATTGAAAGTTTTTTAGATGTCAGGCATAATTTTTATCACTTTATATATATATTACTTCATTTAATCCTATCCAGCAGATACTATTATTAACTTCATTTTAGAGATGAGAAAACTGAGGAACAGAGAGAGGGCATAACAACTAGTAAGGGGTAGAGCTGGGACTTATTCTCTGGCTGTCTGGCTCTGAACCACTGTGATACAATAAACATTTATTATTATTATTATTAAAATATATTTTTATTGATTTTTTACAGAGAGGAAGGGAGAGGGATAGAGAGCTAGAAACATCGATCAGCTGCCTCCTGCACACCCCCAACTGGGGATCAAGCCTGCAACCGGGCATGTGCCCTTAACCGGAATTGAACCTGGGACCCTTTAGTCCATAGGCCGACACTCTATCCACTGAGCCAAACTGGTTAGGGCAACATTTATTATTTTATTATTACTATAAGTAATGATACTAAATGTGGGATTAGAAGAATTTTCATCTAACAATCAGTTATTAAGCACTTACTAAGTATCATCATATGTGGGTTCATAAACAGGAAGAGAATATGGTTTCTGCCCTCAGGCTGATAGGCTAGTGGGAAATTAGACTTGCAAATGAATAGTTATAAAACTTCGAAATGCATTATAATAGATGACAAAACACCTAGTACTGTTTGGAGACTTTCCATATGATCTCCTCAGGAGATGACATAAGGTAATATTAAGAAAAAGAAAATTCCTGTTTGATAGAAAAGTAAGAGAAAAGACATTAAAGGATGAATATATAACGAGAAGAGACATAGAGATATTCATTTATTTCTTTAACAAATAATTATGGAGTTATTACTATACCAGAAGTGCTAGGGATACAGTGGTAAACAAGATAGAAGCTTTCCCTGAGCTGATCTAGCAGGAAATAGAATATTCTAGGAAGGACATGTAATTCAAGCTATTTGAGCCATGGGGCATTTGAGGGGGAGTGGTGGTAGGAGGTAATTCTAGAAAGTTTGGCAAGATCCAAGTAGGAAGGTGACAGTGTGTGTTAAAAATTATAATTTACTGGCAGAATTACTTTATTATTATTATTTATTCCTTCTCCTTAAAGGTACAAGGGGGCGAGGACAATGGGGCAAATAGAGATCTTGTTTCAGTAAGCACTGAAGGCCTGGAAGAAGACAGTAAGATGCACTATGGGCATTCCCAACTTGCCATTCCAGCTATATTTATAAGATAGAAATTTCACTAGCACTCAAGTGGAAAGATTATATGGTCAAAAAAAAGCCACAAAGCATTTGGATAGTAAATACCTTAATTAAGGGGAAACAAAAACAGGTGGGATTTCCGGAAAAGACACTGCCAAAATGAATGAAAGACAGTATCTTCTTCAAGACTTACAGTAAGAGAGGACCTCCGAACCTTATTTATTACAGGAGTTAGGAGATTCTGAAAAAAATATCTGAAGGCCTTTAAACTATTAGTTTTCGATCTCTGTTCTATGGCATTTGGGGATTTTTTAAGACTTTCTTTAGTGTTTCAGCAAAAATAACTTAAACAAGATACATGTAAAGCATCATTCAAAGAAAGATGGCACAGAATATAAGAGAAATCAGATTACTGGTGAAAGGCTCATTAACACCTGTGGTATTGCTATTGTCTTTGAGGAAAACATGGATAAGATGAATAGTCCAATACAAAAGTAGAAATAGAACCAATGTCTGGTAATGAGGCCCAGGGAAGAATACTCACAGAATGCGCCTGAATTAGTAGTTTGAATGCTGAAATCATATGTATTTTTGCAATTTAAATAAGAGTATGATTGTGATAGATCACTCTAGTTTGCCTGTTGTTTTGTAAGCTATAGTCTCATAAAAAATGTTATTTTTTGTAAAACATTTGATATATACTCAATATAACAAAAAATCATGTTTCAATTTTTTAAATCACCATCAAATAAGGTGGAATATGTGTAATGATATCTGTATTGCTAATGGGAAAACGATGGCAAGAAAAATAGTGAGGATGCTCCCTTCAGCAGCACATATACTAAAATTGGAAAAATACAGAGAAGATTAACATGACCCCTGCGCAAGGATGGCACACAAATACATGAGGTGTTCATATTATGAACCAAAATAGTAATAACAGCATTTAAATTTTAAAACTCATAATTGAAAAAATAATAAAACTTGAATTTTTGAAACTGTAAAAAGAAAATAGTAGGAAGGGTGTCTGTAATAAACAGAGTTTTAAAAAATAAAAATATAAGGTATGTTGTGAATATAATATTAAGATGCCAGCATTTTTCAAAATAGTATTGGTTAGTGTCACAAATATCATCCTTTCATTTCAGTTCTCTCCTTCTCAAACCAGAAATAGGTTTGTTCTCTGAGTACATGAATAACACTTACTTCTTTTTTAAAAAAAGAAAAGAAAATAGAGAAAATAAGGAAGAAAACCAAACTATCATCCAGATAGTACCTCTGCTAATGTATTGGTATTTATAATTTCAGACTTTTCTAAGCATATATTCCCCAACACTGGAAAACACATGTATATATATAAAACCCTAATATGCAAATAGACTGAACAGGTGAACAACCAAACAACTGGTTGCTATGACATGGGCTGATCACCAGGGAGCGCACGTGAAACATGGCGGGCATCAACAGCAGGCGACAAAGTGTAGAACATGGCAGGTGTCAACGGTGGTGGGATGGTGGAGCCGGTGAGCGGGGGCGCCAGATCAAGGTGAGGCACCAGTCGCTGTCATCGGGGTGAGCCTCTGGTGGTTACTGAAAATTCTTTGCTCCCATGCACCACAGTTCTGCCTGGTGCTCGTACCTGCTGCCTGAGCTGGCCCTGCTCGCACCTGCTGCTGGCACTCGGCTCTGGCCCCAATTACTCGGCGCCCTCAGTGGGTGCGAGCAGCAGCTGCCAGCACCGATAGCCCCTGAGGTCTTCTCCACCTCCCCCTGCTCCTGAGGGGTGATCAGGGCAGCAGCCGCTGCTCACACCTGCTACTGGCGACAACCCCAATCCCTCCATGCCATCAGTGGGTATGAGCAGGGCCAGTGTCATCAGCGTATGGGAGTGGTGACCGCGGGAGCAGGGCTGCTGGCAGACAGTGGACCGGGGCCCGTGGCAGGAGGGGCTGGGCGGGGGTGCGGAGGATGGGCCGAGACCTGCCTCTGTGCCCACTGCAGCCTTGTGGCCCACAGTTCTTTTCAAGGTGCATGAATTCATGCACTGGGCCCCTAGTCTATAATAATAAAAATGTAATATGCAAATCGACCGAATGGCCGAACAGTGGAATGACCATCTGGATGACCATGCTATGACACGCACTGGCTCCAGGCCAACCAAGGCGGGTGCGATGCGATTGGTTGGGGGGCCCGCCATTGCCCCATGATCATCCCACAGAGGGAGGCCGAGGGAGGCCCAGGCCACCCTCTGTGGGGCAATTGATTGGGGGGCTCTACGGAACCAAGGAACTGGGGGTGTGTGGCGGCAGATGTGGGCAGCGGTCAGCACCAGGCCAAGGTGGGTATGGGTGGGGAGTGGGGCTGCGGGGCTGCAAGGTAGCCTGGGCCGATAGGCAGCTGGGGCTGCAAGGGCCCCAGCAGCAGGGGCTGAGAAGGTCTACCCTTGCATAAATTTCGTGCATCAGGCCTCTAGTTATAACAGGCCTTTCCACATTTTGATGCCAATATATAGTTTTCAATGACTGCATAGTATTCCATTCATTAACTGTTTCATAATTTAATCAAGCCTCTGTTGATGACTTGAGTTTTTTTTAAAAATATTTTTGTACCACAAAATCAATTGCCACAAAAAAGCTTGTGAACACAGGCTTTAGTAGTTATTCTTCTAATCTTTAGGATAAATCACTTAGTAAAATTGCAAACTGAGAGGGCGTTTACAGGATTTCTTATTTTAATATTATATATATATATATATATATATATATACAAATATTTTAAGGTAAAAAAAATAACAGCAATAAATTTAAAAATCCCAATACTCAGGGCAGGAAAATTTAAAACATAGAGAGCTTTATTTTTAATCTCTAATATCTTTCTATCTACATAGATTAGATAGATGATATATAGATATACATAGAGAAATAGAAACATTATTTTGAATTGTAGTCTTTTTAGAAGTTAATTCTAACTATTTTAATATCATTCTAACATTTCTATTTATCAGTCATTGGGAACTGAACTTTCTTGCCTTTTCCTCTTCTGTCTTTGAGACAAGAATTTTAGCATGCTTCACTTTCCCTACTTTGTTCACATCTTCTTGGTCATTGTTAAAAACATTTTCAATGTTAGATTACTGTTATACTCTTACATTAAAGATATTTTATTTCAAAAGTTATAGTGAATTTTTAAGTTCTAATGTATAACTCTATTATATAGAATTATTTATACATTTCTACATTAACTAGCTTTGATGTTCAATATCAAATGCTCTATTCCACATTCTCCTCATTTGTGAACTTTTTTTATTTAATCTTCAGTAAGTTGGAAAAATATCAAAGTATTTTCTGCAGAAATTGCATGAAACACTCCATGTTGTCTGCCCTCAATACCAGCAAACATCTTTCTGATGCTCTTATCCATAGGTCAACATTTAGTTGGCTTTAAAATTTGAAATTATATTTTTTCCATACTAGAAATTCCCTCTTTGTCTTTTTCTTTTTGATGTGTCAAATATGTCTGAGGCTAGCCTGATTATATTTCATTATATGTAACCATTTTAAGCATTTTTAAAATATCATATTATGTACACTAATATAAATACATACACTAAAATAATGCTATTGGTAATAAGTATATAACAGTTAAGTTGCTGTCCCCTCTGGCTAACAAAACTGGGCTATTTGGCCATTTCTCCACTTTTTGGAGGGAGCATGCTTTCTTGATAGTTGCCTTCCAGAATAACGTGTATTGCTTTCATCCACTAATAATAACTTTAAAATAGACTTTATTGGAGAACCAGGACAGCGGAGTAGGTAAACACCAATATTTGCCGCCTCCCACAGCCACATCAAAATCACAACTAAAATACAGAACAACCATCATTCAGAACCACCTGAAATCTGGCTGAATGGAAGTCCTACAACTAGAGAAGTAAAGAAGAAAGCACATTGAGACTGGTAAGAGGAGTGGAGGTGTGGAACGGGCTAGTCAGACACCCATGTGTGGCATTTTTTGTTTTGTTTTGTTTTTTATCTGGAGAGATATCATGGCTGCAGAATCCTCCCGAGAAGAGCAAGCAATCACAGCTCCACACCCCCCCCCCTTCCCTAGCCCAGGGTTCCAGAGCTGGGAAGAGAAGTCCCTGTAACTTCAGGCTGTAAAAAGCGGTGGGGATTGAGGCTGCCAGAGATCCAGGTATCCCTCTTAAAGGGCCAGCACACAAACTTATTGGGACTCGACCCCTATGAGCTCTAGCACCAGGAGGAGTTACGGGACCCAGACATATATGGAGAGGAACTGGATTGTCTGGCATTGGGGCAGGAACTCAGGGGCGGCTTTCTCTCAGACACGGGTGCCCCCAGGGGTCATTATTCCTGTGCTGGGACCTCTCCTGTCGCAGGACTGACTGGCAGCCTTAGCTCAGTCCCCATCAGCCTGGCTTACACTGTTTTCTCTACCCTGGAGATTCCCTGAGACCCCATACCATCCAATTTTCAGCCCCCCTCAACCTGTTTGCAGCAGCTTTTCCACATGAATGACCTGTCCTGGCTCAGGCTTCAGACTTTGCTAAAATCTCTCAAACAAGCTGCAGCTGGTGTCAGCATGCCCCAAACCTATCAATAAAAGGCCCAAGACCCTTCACTAGCACCAGCCTGCCTTGCTTCACAGTTAGGCCTCGCCTGGGCACTTCACTTCCAAACCTGATACAAATAGGAGGCATCTGCAGATTTCTCTGTAGCTCCTGCTGGGTGGCCCCAGGCAGTGGCTGACTTTGCACCTCCCTGGAGATAATGGAGCCAGTGTACCCAGTGGACAGTTTCAGAGCATAGCAGACTACAACTCTACACATCCACAAGTGACAGACACAAGGGGCAGACTCAGTGAGCACCAAAACCACACTGAAGCAAGTCCTGCTTCATAGGGGTGTTTCCTGCACAGCGGCTCTCCACTGTAGTCACAGCTGGTCCTCACAGCCAATTGGTCTAGAGGTCAATTCCTCAATCAAGGCTTAACTACAACAAGACTGCACACAGCCCACACAGGGAGGTACCTAGAATGCCCAGCTCAGGTGACTGGGTTGGCTGGGCCACTGGGCTCCCTACAGGTCATCTACTACACAAGGCCACTCTACCAATTCCAGGAGACATAGCAGCTCTACCTAATACATAGAAACAAACACAGGGAAGAAGCCAAAATGCTGAGACAAAGAAACATATCACAAGTGAAAGAACACAAGAAATCTCTAGAAAAACAATTAAATGAAATGGAAGGAAGTAAATTACTGGATACAGAGTTCAAAACAATGGTTGTAACACTGCTTAAGGATCTTAATGAGAGCTTCAAGGGACTTAGACTTTCAAGGATCTTAGTGAGAATTTTAAGAACCTTAGTAAGAACATCAAACACATGAAAAAGGACCAGTCAGAAATTAAGCATACAATAATTGAAATAAAGAATGATTTACAAGGATTCAACAGTAGAGTAGAGGAGTCCAAACATCAAATCAACAATTTGGAATATGAAGAAGCAGAAAACACCCAATCAGAAGAGCAAAAAGAAAAAAATCCATCCGAAAATAGTGTAAGGAGCCTCTGGGACAGCTTCAAGCGTATCAACATTCACATTATGGGGGTGCCAGAAGGAGAAGAGAAAAAGCAAGATATCAACAGGAAGAAAAAGAAGGAGGAGGAGGAGGAGAAAATGAACAATAAAATGGCAATAAATACATATCTATCAACAATTGAATCTAAAAGTAAAAATAAACAAACAAGGAATCTCATGAACAAAATAAACTGACTGATAAAATAGAACCAGAGACATGGAAACATGGAACAGACTGGTGGATCTCAGAGGGAAGGGGAGCAGGGTTGATGGGAAGAGATTACCCAAAAATCTTATATGCATATATGCATTACCTATGGGCA